TATGTTTTTCAAAGTGATAATGTATATTTTTCTTAATAATAAAATCAGATTTGTTGTATTTATTTATTGACAATTCAATCATTTCTATTTCTGCTATAATAGTCGCTATTAATTCAATTTCAACGAACTACCACCAACGCCAGTCGTGAAAATGAGCACACATGTTTACGATGACGAAATAAAAAAATGTGGAAGTCAGCAACTTATTTGACACCGCGAAGCTAGATTTTCGCGAAGTGCATGTAAACAACACAATTGAGCGATCTAAAAACTACAAAACAGGACAGAAAGGTCCATAAAGTATACATACGTTTTAATGGAAACTAAAACAATATTTTGTTAAATGGAAGAATGCTAGCTAGCGATTAAAATAATTCATTTTTTATCGAAGGTAAATGTAGCTAGGGCCTAGAGAATCGCTGCTGCACTGGTCGTTGGTTCATACTGGTCGGCTAGGTTAGGTAGTGGAAACTCACACCTTCTCTACAGTAGTTTACAATTTTTTTTGAACGAATACCACTTGGTACTAGAGGTTCGTAAAATACAGTAGATGTTTTATTAAATAAGCCTTTCCACTGTGTGACGTCGACGGCCTGAAACTGGCTGGCTGTTTATCTGGCTCTAACTTGGCATCGAACGCAATTAGGGGATTATCGTATCATGTTTCAAGACGGGTATATCTAGATAAAGTTTGACGTGAACCAAGCTATTGAGTTTGATTGTCAGTTAAGGTGAGGTTCCTCAACCCGTCAGAGCTATTGCTGAAACGGGTATTGAGGTAAAGGGAATGGTAACAGCATGGATACCTGTATGTTTGAAACTCGAGTGTTGCGATTTATGGTTGTAAATGTACACGATTTTAATTTTCATTCCTTGGTACTTTTGAATAAGATGCTCCACTTGGCCTTGTTTGGCTATGAAAGTTTAATAATTTGTTATTACCATTACTCATTATCATTAATGAAATAACAGCCAGTCAGAGGGCTTATTTATGGTATGTATACTAAGTCTGAAGGTGGCGCTTTACTACGACAGCCATCTTGGATGGTACACATACATTACTCGGCATTGCTTCGCCATCTTGTCAGCACTCTAGTTGTTTAATAGCTCATGTATAAACCACAGACTGAAAGGAGGTCAAGGGTTAAAAGTCACAGTTGCAGTGTCATTTTATGCTAAAAGGTTTCATTAGAGTGTATTTGACTCCAAAATTATGTCTCTAGGATCAATTGTTGCCAAGAACTGCATGACAAATTGGTGGCCACCTTTGTTATACAAATTAGCATATTTCATAGTTGCAGTCATTTTATGCTAAAGGTTTCATGAAAGTGTAAATAAATATACATATTCTGAGTAAATTGACACCAAAATTATATCTCTGGGATCAATAGTTAACCAAGAACTGCCAAATACATGACAAATTGGTGGCCATTTTTGCTTTACTCAAATTAACATATACAGGTGCAACAGACATTTGCATATCATTGACTATCAAGTGTTAATCATTAATGAATAGAGTTACTACATGCTTGAATGATTAAACTTTATTTGGTTAAACAATACATAAGATTCAATTCTAATGTGACAGTCGGTGAGCAGTCGCTGTTGTTACAACAGAAAACCTGTTAGGAATTTTGTTTAGAGAATGCATATTTCCGCACCCATGATCGAGTACCTATCCTACTGACATAAGCCGTGCGTGGCGGCTGGCAGTTGGTCCTTGATCCTATTGATCCACCATTATAAGAATATATCAACTAAAGCAGTGGTTCCCAAGCTTTTTGCGTTTGCGGACCAGTCTGAACATGCCAAAATCTTATTATTTTGTTTTTAGGTTTAATAACTCAAAATCAATTTTTCCACAAAGTGACTGGTTTTTTTGTTTTTTTAATTGACAATCACCTAAAACAAGGCTAATGAACCACTCAAGCTAAGTGGCTACTTATTTCAAAGAAACCGGCTCACAAAAGTTAAATGGGAAGGAAAACAGTATGAAGGCAAAGAAAAAAAGAACGATTGATGAATGCATATGAAAAGGCAATAGTCTTAACTTTTGAAAGAACTAGTTTTGGCTTGTCCCTGTCACCAAATGGATATTTATATATTATACAGAAATTAAAGAAAAACTTTAATACACAAAATTAAATACAGCACCAAAGCTGTTGGTGCTAGGGTTGACAATATTACCTCCACCATGTTTGATTAAGAACTTCTCAACATTATCACAGTCTAGTTTGGTTCTGCAAAAGATGATAGCCTGATCCATGTCATGCTCTTTGATAGCATGCAAAAGGTAGTCTGGTTTCAGGATCTTCACTGCTTCAGACATAGTTTCTAAAGGAAAAAAATCACAGAAAACTATTGCCAGAAATACATTATGAATATAATTTGAATAATATTTACTATGATTTCCAAGGTTACCAATGTAAAGCTAAATAAAATATATAAAAAATAAAATAAAAAATATTAAAAAAATTATTTAAATAAATAATTTTAATAAAATTAATTAATTAAAGCATTATTACAAATTTAATAATTGTGGGCCTACCAGAAGAAAACAAAAACTAGAGGTACTATGTTCAATAGAAAATGAACCCAGTCATTTTTTAAGAGATAACCACTGTGAATTTAAGCTTAATCTGTGTGAACACCCCATGTCTGAATAAAAAATTAAAAAAAAAAAAAGATCATTGGTTACCATCACTTAACTTAACTTGGCACTGAGCAAGAGTTTGCAATTATGTACCCAAGGATATAAAGGGCCAAAATGATTCATGATTCAATTGTTTGCCATTAGTAACATTTTCAACCTTTGACCTATAAACTTTGACATATGGGGTGAAAAGTATTTGTTTGTGTTTAGAAGGTCCTAAGGATCATTCTTGGTAAATTTGAGCTCAATTGGGCTATTTTAAAAATTTAACCCCGATGACCCCTATGTGACCCTGATCCAGACTGGGGTGTAGGTGTCGCCGGTTCTTAATGACAAAATTTTATTGAATTTGGTCCAATGGTTTGCCATTAGTAGTATTTTGAAATGTTACTAGAGAAAAACAAAAGATTAACCCTTTAATGACCTTTGACCGTAAATTGCTAAACACGATAAAGACCCTACCTTATGTCAATACATATGTGACCAGGATAAGACTCTGCTGTTATTTGTGACAGAAGTCTTTTATTCATTTAAAAAAAAAGTTTTTTACCCTAATGACCCCTATGTGACCTTTGACGTCCACAAGCAGTGAACACCCCATGTAAGAGATGTCACCGATTATACTGACAAGGTTTGGTTGAAATTGGCACAAACGTTTGGCACTAGTAGCGTTTTAAAATGTTGCCAGAAAAAAGATAAAAATTACCCCTTAATGACCTTTGATCCCTTATCCCTGAACACTCTATAGACTCCGCCGTATGGCAATGTATATGTGCAAAGGACAAGACTGTGCTACTTTATTTGTGAGACAAGTAGTCTTTTATTGGATTTTTGGTTTTTTGACCCTAATGCCCCTTACGTGAACTTTCACACCAAGTTGTGAACAACACATAAATGGGAGGTGGAACCGGTCCAGTAGTTTGCCACTAGTAGCCTTTCAAAATGTTGCCAGAATGAAAAAAAAAAAAAAGAAAGTGCTCGGAAACAGAACCCAGTCAGCATGCTGCTGACTGGGTAATAATAATTAACCAGAATAAATAGTATTACAATTATAATTAATAGTGACCGAAAACTAGAAAAAAAGAACACAAACATAACACATATATAATACAGAGTCGTGAACAACGTTGACCTTGAAAATCTGAAATGGTTCCCGAACATTTCACCAATCAGCGGAGAGTCACATAGTTGCTTCAATCTTGAACCTGTGCGTCCAGGGAACAAAAGGCTACTTCAGCTCCGGTCCCGATGGACTGATGTACGGCTTCTTCGTAAACTTCAATCATCATACCATTTTTTGGAAATGCTTTTTTCAAAACTTCTTGAAACCAGAGATCCCACAGAAAGTTGGTCAAAAAGTATAGTTACTTTAATACACAAATCTGGAGAAACAACCTCCCCAGAGAAATTCCGCATGATGTCCTGCATCGGGAAATTGTTCCACCAGATCTTGTCAAAACGAATCGCAGATTATACGACGGAAAACATGCTGATGGATAAAGAAACACACAAGGCGTTCCTTAAGGAGATTAATGGCTGCGTTGAACACACGTTCGTCATGAACAAGCTTCTAGCCAACATTAGAAAGAAGAAAAAGACACTACATATTACGTTTTTTGATCTAGCTGACGCATTTGAGTATTGCTTAATACATTACACTTTAAAACGAATTGGAATTCCAGATATTATCTGTCAATACGTTAGAAACCTCTACTCTAGAATTCAAGGGAAAGTTAGAGGACCTGGCTGGCAATCCAATCCATTCACCTTTCATCGTGGAGTTTTTCAGGGGAATCCGTTATCCCCCATTATATTCCTCACTGTCTTCGATCCCCTCATCCAACACCTTAAACTTAAAGAAGAGGCGTACGGCTACAATCTGGAAGGAAAACACTACCTCACTCTTCCTTTCGTAGATGATTTTTCCCTCATCACACGCGATAAAAGAAATCATCAAAAACTTATGACAAACATCCTCCATCTTACACAATCAATGAATCTTACACTGAAGCCAGTAAAATGCAAGTCAATGTCAATTCGAAGTGGTAAATCCGATGATTGCACCTTTAAAATTGGTGACACTGAACTCAGATCATTAAAAGATGCACCAGAAAAGCTTCTGGGAAGCACTATATTTTATAGCGCTAAAACGAAAGAAATATACAAACTGGTCGAAGAAAAAGTCGGCGACCTTATTAACAATATTAATGCTTCTTTAATAAGCAACGAATTTAAACTACGCGTCGACATCCAATATGCTGCTCCCTCCCTGCGATATATGTTGGCGGTCAACGAACTGACTGGCACTCAACTACAACAGCTTGACCATAGGCATTCTAATGCCATAAAGAACTGGCTTGGTCTGTGAATCACGGGCTCTACACCTGCATTCATCCATAGCCCAGAAGGGCTTGCTATGCCTAGGCTTTCAGATATCTATTCAGAGTCTCATTGCTTGGCTTATTCAAGGTTTATGGTCAAAGCTGGTAGTCAAGTTATCCATGTGCTAAAGTGCAAACTTAATCGTGAGTCCGAATGGGTCCAAAAGATGGCAAAGAGTGGATCGAGGCACTGGCACCAGACATTCACTACGGCCAGTGCAAATGTAGAAAATCTGAATTGGTCGAAAATGAAGCCACAGATTAAAAACATAATTTATGTATGACAACCGCATTAGTTTCTAGAGAGATTTCATCCGCTCTCTCCCCCCCCCCCCCTTCTTCCTCCAACAGGCAAACTTGCTAAAATGATGCATCTTCAGTTGTGCGATCTTACATGAAGATCACTTATTTTCAACCTGCCTAGAGGTGTGCTAAGTTTTGCCAACCTTTAGCAATCTTCGTAACTGAGGTAAAAAGGTGAATGATAACTGTAGTAAATGTGGGAATAAAGAAACCCTGAACCATATACTTAACTGCTGCCATACCGCACTCGAACAAGGGCGATAATACCATCTTGTTTCAAATAATAAAATTCTTGCTCGAATTCGTAAACTTTAGCAGACTTTTCGCTGACATCCATGGCCATTCAACGGCTGGGGGAACTATTCCATCGAATATTGTAATCATGAATCTCAAACCTGATATTGTCATTTTGAAGGATGAGACAACATTACAAAGGCTCGATGTAGGGTCAATACCACCTCAGCCCCATCATGGTTGGGACTGAGGTAAGAACATTTTTTATTATGGCACCTCTAGATGGTCAGAAATGGCACTATCAGACTTCAATTTGAAAATGATTTCTTTTTTCTCCTTTTTTTTTATATTTAAAAAAAATTAAGGTGGGGAAGTTTCCCTCTTGAATCTGCCACTGATCTGGTTAATGAGCTTTCATAACATTAAATTTTATTTTGCTGCACATTAAGATACACATCGGCACTGTCTTCCGTGAGACAACTGATAATAAAGCTGTGACCACATGCAAATATTATGAATTTGTGGGATATGGGCTATTTCCGGGAGATTCTTGCTTGCTTGTGGGAGTGTGGGAGGGCTGTCCCGATTTCCGTGAGACTTGGGACCCCTGTAGCTTGGAAATCCAAGTTTATAAAATATAGACATATATTTCCACAACACCCTACTGACTACCAGATACTGTGGGTAGATCAAAATTCACATCAAGAGTTGCAAGATATGCAACTGCTTTTCAAAGATGCATATAAATGAACCTAGCTGGTTTTAATAATTAAAGCACTTGAATACAATAAAAAAAAAACAAATGTTTCAGAGCATGTTTTGTGATTTTAAGGGTTTAGTTTGATATAGTATGCATAATACCAATTAGCATTCAATCAATATTCATAAGAAAACTTTATGAAGATATAACATACTACATGGTGTACTGTCTCTGGGACACTATCTTTTCCTTTCAGATCTACCCAAGTTGGAAAGTGCATTATTTTTTCCTGAAAAGAGAACGATTTTAAATAGACAATTCTATATACTGTAAATATATATTTTTCTATTAAACTAGACATACAAAAACCTTTGTCTTATTACACTTAAGGAAAAGAAGTAAATTAAAAAAGAAAAACAACATACTTATTTTTATATTATTTATTTATGAAAGTTAATAAATAAATGGAGAAGCTGCAGGCATGAGCGAACCCACTTGCCCGACACCCAGGACAAGTGTTTTTTACGGTTGTACAACAAGAATTATAGAAACCACTTGTCCGTGGTCAAGCAATTTTAGAATAGGCCACTTCACCATGTAATGCTTTCACAGTACTTACAAAAGTCCGACTATCTTGACAAACTGAGCATATTTTATTAACAAAGTGTCGGTGCACAAAGAGATATTAAACATGGTTACGCAAAACACTGCGTGCATCCACTTAGAGTCGCCAACACTCCCACAATTTAATGTTGGTTTAAATTTTAAGAAAAAATGTAGGCTTACTGAATATGAAATCTGGTATTTTCTTCAGTAAGATTGAAAATAAATTCTTAATTATTATTATTATTATTATTATTATTATTATTATGTGTGTACACATTAGACCTACAGCAGGTACATATTTTCACACGATATAACACCTGTTAGCAGTCAGCCGTCTTGGCTTGCTGCACATGGTCTGTTTACAATATAAATTCGCACTGGTCTAGTCTATAATTACCAGACATTTAAAGACTTTAAGCGCACAGCCATTAGTTGATTACTCGAGTTAGGTGACATCAAATGTCTGGACTAGTAATTACTTCCGAGTATGAAAATGAACAGCAGCCGTTAGGCCGACTTCAAAAAAAGGCCTAGTCTATTTCATTTGTGCGTGTGTGGAAGGCAAATTAAATTAGGATTATGGTTGTTAAAGTAATTTAAAAATCAATCACTTCTAAGTGACGGAGATAATGTGCTGGAGTTAAAAATTGAGGGCTTAGGCGTATAAATGATTAATTTTCCCGTCTCATAAATGTCACCGTCCCAGAGATTCTCTAGAAGGATTCGTTATTTTGCAGAAAACACAAGGCCTTGATAGGAGGAACACAAGTATTACGATTCTGCGCATCTATTTTTGTAGAGGTTTTTCGGTGCAATTTGAATTAGTTTTTTGTATCATCTGCAAAAAAAATTCATTTGCAGTTTGAAGATCTGCAAACGGGTACAAACATTCGATATGGCCACCAACCCTACCCCCTCTAACAAATAACGTCATAAAACACATTCCTGTCAGTGTGTGGCTGAGAACTCATGTATCGTTGAAATCAACCATGCCTGAGAATTTTTACTAGCGGTTGTCGTGAGGACGGCTTTTAAACACGCACTAAGAAAATGATCAATACCCTCCTACATACATAGACTATATATTATTAATGCTTATTTTATTTGAATTTCTCCATATTATACATTATTGAAATTTTTCCAAATTAAAAAAAAGAAAGAATAAGCACAGCAGTGTGTGGAGTATATTCTACTCAAAATAAAATTTGCAGAGCTTAATATCCAACATGCTATAAAATAACAGATTTCTGCAAGACTAAGTAAATATAAAAATTGCTACAATAAGACAGGCCCATGCATGCAAAATACATGGTATATTTTAATACTATTGTAGAACAATTTGTAGTAAAAGCCACTATTACGTGAGCGCAGCTCTTAAATTAGCGGCTCTTTGAATGAAAGCACCGCACTGAAGCCTTAAAATGAAGTTACTTACAGCAAGTTTCTTGACTTCAAAAGAATGCAGAGTGGCAGAACATACTATCATTTGTAGTCTTCTTCCATCAGCTGATATCTTGGGAATTTTCTGCCAGATTCTGTTAATTAGATCTCCATTACCTGTAGACAACAACCCATCCTAAACAAAAACACAAGCAATTATTTGGAAATAATGATAATTTTCTTCAGATTATAGTGGCGTATCTAGGGGGTGCGCACAGCCCTCCAAAAATTACTAGCCCCCCCCCCCCCCCCCCCCCCCCCCCCCAGTCGCCACCCCCTAAAAATCATGGTCAAGTAGTTAAAAGAAATCACCTAAGATCACCTTATTTTGCAAATTAGCGCCCCTCAACTGATCTTCGAGCCCCCCACTTCAACTTTGCGTTTCCCATCAGCACCCCAATTTCAAAACTTCTAGATACGCCACTGTCGGATTATAAAAAACAGACTTGAATCAGATCCTTACAAAATAGCATATATCCTGATCAATTTCTTTGCTCTACAGCATATGGTCCCAACCAAAACAGTCTCTGTGGTTGAATTAATAAAATTATTTGAGAAAACAAAAATGGCAGCAAAATAAACTTTATACTTGTTGACAAAGAATATGTGCATGCGAAAATGCTAGGAACAGATGAAATTATAGCTAAACTACACAGGAACAATTAAGTGTTACCCAATACATAATTAACTTGTGCTTTTTCAAAGAAATGGAAGAAAGCTTGCCAAAATTAGACTACAATAAAGACACATATAACACTTGCGTTTGAGTGGACAGTTGGGTAGCTGAAGAAAGAATACCTATTCTAGCAATTTTTTAAATGCTTTAAATTATATCCAAACTGTAGTGTATCAGCCTGGATTAAAATCCATTTAGACAATAAGTTAGACTAAAATAAAGATCACACTTGAGTTTGAGTGGACAGTTGGGTAGCTGACAGAAGCCTAGCCTATTCTAACAATTATTTAAATGCTTTAAATTACATTTTCTAAACTGTAGTGCATAGCCTGGATTAAAATCTATTGGACATTGGAAATTTCTGACGTGTTTGTGCTATGCTAAAGAAAAAAAAAAAGATAAATTTTAGTGTATCAAATTTTCAGCTACTCTGAAAAAAAGCTGGCTTGTTAAAATTTATGTGATCTCAGGTTTGATTTAAGGTAGTTACAGAGGTGGAATCAGGAAATCCCCAACGAGGGGTCCAAGCTCCCCGACGGAAGGGTCCACCCCCAGTCGGGGAAGCCTACCCCCTCCCACCTTGGTTTGAGAAAAAATTAATTTGTCGAGATGATATTCAATTTGTCGGGGAATTTTTACTTATTAAGATAAAAAAATTTTGTGTTAATTATGGGATTCTTAATTTAAAAAGTATGTCGGGGTACTAGTCCACCCGTGGGGGGTACTAACCCGGAGGTACCAGCCAGCATACGATAGTAATAGTATATAACACCCCGCACAATCTGGAAGATTATTATTTACGTGGTGAATCAAATCATGATAAATAAGGCTTAGCTATTGATACTGAACTACAGTAAAAATGAAATAAATTTGTTCCATATTTTCAAGGCTGAATGTGCAAGTTATGTTTGAAAGTTTTTTTTTGTTTTCTTTTACGTTGTAGTTAATAACTTTAATATTTGATCCATATAAATGACATTTGGATACATTTTTTACTAATAAGCATAACACTCCATTATGTCCAAAGTTGTAATCTGTATTATTTGGTTTGTTTTTTCGTGAGACTGTACTGTTGTGATGCATGGGGTTCCTGAATAATGACCACTTTTATGTCGACCATTGTTTTTCTAAATTATTGAGGGTTGGCTTGCGCTTCATAACCACAAGGGAAAGCGCAATATAAATACCCAGTACCAGTACATCATTAATTATATTACATCCATTCAGCTAAAGGTATAAAAAACCCCTATAATTGAGACAGCTTCCGGGATAGCGCAAGAGGGTCACTCCCCTCCCACCTCCTCCCACCCCTCTCATCCTGTCTCTTATACACATCTAGATGTGTATAAGAGACAGCTATTCAAAGGGGTGAAAAAAAAAAAATGTATCTTCTGCATATTCATAGGCTCTAAAAATTGATAAAATAAGCCTTTGAAATCCCTAAATTGTCAAAATTTTCAAGGCTTTGCACCCTGGACCGCTTTCGACACTCGACTACGACCACTTTGCTATCATGATGAAAATCTGACCCCTCATTAAGGGCATCATCTCCACCCCCTCCTCTCGTCAGGGACCTCTGCCCTCGTAGGGAAAATCATGGTGCCACACCTGGACAGCTTAGGGTGGGTCTACTACATGTAGATGAGGTTGACAGGTTTAAATATTTGTTGCTTGAAGTCTGGTCATTCAATTTTGTTAAAAAAAGATATTCAGTTGTAAATTATTGGTCCGGCCAAAACCAGACCAGCCGGACCGCTTCCGACGCCCTTGCCAAGCCAAGGGCGTCGTATATATATATATATATGTATATGTATATATACATATGTTGGTCGTCAAGAAGCTAGTGTCTGAAAGAAGGGTACTTCTATTGGCAGCATTGCAAGTAGCAGCCAAAATACAAATGTTGTTCTTGTATTTACACTTTCTGCATAATTTTTCCATAATTTTTACTGATAGTTTTCTCTTTCTGTACATTTGTCTCATCATTTATAGATTTCGCCCATTCTATTCCTGTTTTACATGTCAATTTTTGACACCAGTTTCTTACCCCTGGATAGGCATTGGCTTGCCTGCCTTGCCTCAGCAGCCACTCATGAGTTTGGAGCCTTACTATCCTTTGCAACCACATGCTTTTGTTAGGCCTAGACCTAGCCTTGGATTTATTCATGCGAACCAGTCTATCAGGTATAATCGTAAGATGTTATTTTAATTGAATATCAATCCGAAAGCCTGAATATCATCCAGTACTTTCAAAATTCTGAAGGAGTTAAAGATTTAACGCCCTAGACGTCGACGTGCTGATAAACAAGTGAAGTCAAAGGTCATCTCCACACCAGCATCTCCTGCTTCTTTTTCATCATCAGTTTGTTATACCAATATTTCTGCCTTGCATTGTCATTATCAAATGATCAAATTAAACTTGCTCTTTGGAATGCTCAATCAATATGCAACAAGCCTACAGAATTCAGTCAATATGTTACTGATCATGGTATTAACCATGTACCTATAACTGAGACTTTGGCTTCGTGAAAATGACAATTTCATCATTGCATCCTGTGAACCTATTGGCTGTTTGCTAGTAGAGGTGGCGGTGTCGCTGTGTTATCTAGTCTTACTATTGTTTTTAAGCAACTGGACCATTTTCGCTCCTTTGAAGCTTACGATACTTTAATTGATAGAACGTTTAAGAAATTTACACTTTTAACCATTTACCGACCACAGCGTCGTCTGACTAACCAGTTTTTCTCTGAATTTTTACACCTTTTCAGCTTTATTCTCTATCTTCAAATATAGCCATTACCGGTATTTCACAGTATTGACTTGAATACACTTGATCACAGGATCTCTCATCGCCTCTTACATCTCAATGACATCGACATCAATATCACTATCAATATGTATAATAGCACACTGATTTCACTTAGAGACGAACTGCTTCTTGCAACATTTAAGTTAGCTTCTGATTTCGATACATTTTTCTTGGACATAAAATCAGACACCTGCGCCTGAATATTTCACTCAATCATGATTTACATCAGGCTACTACCATTACTGCTTCATCCCCAACTCTGCACAGCAACAAACTCAACAGCTTTGAGATGGTCACTGATAATGCATAGCTGATTTAATCAAATCTATGGCACCGATATCTTGCGATCTGGATTCTTTTCCCACTAAGATTCTTTGCCAGCTCAACTGCACTGTCTCCATACTCTGCATCCTAGTCAACACATCTGTTGCAACTGGCACTTTCCTATCTTGAAAAAACCCAATCTTGAACCTTCTTTATTTGCCAATTACTGAACAGTAACTAACATCGCCTTTGTTTCTAAGGTCAATGAGAAAGTTTTCTGTTCGCAACTTGTCAAGTTTTTGAATGACAAACAATATTTTTGATCATTTTCAATCTGCATACCGAAAAGCATGCAAAATCCGCTTTACTTAAAGTCAGTAAACGATATCTTGCAGGCCCTTGATAATAGTCACTGTACATTGACAGTGTACCTCGATTTTTCTGCTGCTTTCGACACCATTGATCACAGTATCCTCATCAATCGACTTCCTGACTTAGGTTTTACCAGAACAGCGCTTGCATGGCTTTCATCCTACATAACATCTAGGCAACAGGCAGTTAGAATTAAATCTGCTATCTCTGAGACAGTAGCGGTCGATTTTGGTGTTCCGCAAGGCTTCAGGTGGGCTAAGTGCAGCCCGCGACAATGAATTAAAAACCCTATGTTTGCGGCCCGCAAATCAAAGTTAGCTAGAAAACCCGTATTTTTTACGACCCGACACCAATCATATGTATAATGTAACATTAAAACTGAGAATAAAGTGATGTAAAAGCAGTCCTCGGAAGTTTTTGGAAGTTCACTGGAAACATCAAAATTTGGGTGCGGCCCTCAGTGTTTAATAAAAAATTTACTTTGGCCCTTCGACCGATTTTTATGCCCACCCCTGCACAAGGCTCCACTTTAGAACCCATATTTTTCCTCGTGCACATGCGTCCTCTTGGAAAAATCATTCAAAATCACTCAATTAAATTCCATATGTATGCTGATGACACTCAACTCTATACACCTTTCAGTCCAGAAAATGTAACCGATGCTATCCACAGCCTAGAGGCATGTATTGATGATGTTCAATCATGGCTGTCCATTAATATGCTTTGTTGTTAACGTCAATAAGACTAAGGTGTTGTATATAAAACCCAAACGTAGTACCAACATGCAAATCATTAATTCCATCCGTGTGGGGAATACTCTTATCACTCACTCTAAGAAATATTGGAGTTACATTCGACTCCATGAAGCAGCACGTTAATAACATCTGCAGAACAGTATCTTTTCAATTTCGAAACATCAAACAGGTTAGACGTTTTCTGAATGAACTGCTTCTAAACTTGTGCATGCCTTAGTAAACATCCAAATTGGATTATTGTAATGGGGTCCTCTACAGAC